ACAGTCTGAAGAATCCAAGGCAAAGGCTGTCCTCTATTATCATTGTTACCAATATCACATTGCCGTCATTACCCACCCGTTGGCCAGGCAAGCCGTCACTATACCTTCCGATGGCCTGGCAGACCGTCATAAATATTAGCAAATGACACTAAAACGATCTAATATGACAAATTATTGGTCTTTACACTTTACATGATTAATCGTAATTTCCGGCTGTCACCAATTGATTATAACTTTGAATATCGAATGATCCTGAATTCAATGGTCCGACAAGGCTAATGGTCGTTACCCCCCTTGATTGTCAAACGACCGTCATTACCTTTTCCAGTAGCAGGCAAGCCGCCATTGCCCCTTCGATAGTAAGGCCTACCGTTAATTTGTAGTAGGTTAGTTAGATCAAAATGTAAATGTGCGATCAGCAAGCTAACCGAATTCTTGCATTCACCTAGTTGAGGTGCTGCTGGTGAAGTACGACGTCTAGGTTGAATGCATCTTATAGAGTTTACTCATTGTCAGAAGTAACAAAATTTTTGGAGTATTGTGAAGTTAACATTCGACAATCCAGTTCGGGTTTTTCAATGGGTTAAAATAAGCTGAATTGAGTGGAACAACTCGGAGGAATATCTGGATTGCAGAGAAATGAGATTTCAAAAGCACTCACAGACAATGTCTTCGGCAATGTTTTCGGCTTGTTTTCTGCACTCCAAACGACACTCTTCTGGTTGACGAGAACCTCTTTCTGTGCAAATGGTATACGTTGAAAAGTACCCTGGTCATCCTGAAAACAGAATTGTCAAATTGTTACACTGACATTGAGGCTTCGCTGAATTTTCATTGTTTTTTTTTTTTTGAGATCAACGTATAAGATCGGAGAACATAAGATCTTGTTCATGATCCGACAAAATCTAGCGCTAAAATCAACTGAATCGATCCGGTCTATTGAAGATTTGAGCTAGCTAACTCGCAAGGTCTGGTGAAATCTCTGGATAGCAGTCACGACCGGCTGGAATCGAGTGTTTGGATCGAGCTTATTCTACGTTTCAGGTCTCAATCATTTGATATTAAGCGTTCTGTTTGGGTTATATCTTTGGATTTATATTTTATGTTTTGAGAATGATATTCGACTTGGTTACAGTGAGATTCAGCGAAAATTCCGCAAATAGCGCTCAAAATTCTATCTCAAATTCACCAAACAACCTGAGTTGTTGCAGTCCAAAACACTTTCACGGCGCCATAGAGTTGTACCAGGATAGTGTCGCAGAAAAGCTTCCGATTGAGGCTCAGATGAATACGGCCTTGGATCAAATCCCCGGGATTGTAGATCCTCTCTCCAAGCGTCACCTCAATGCTGTACGCTCGAGACGGCTCGTTCACAGCGAACATTGTGTGCAAACCTCAAATTAAAATTTTCGATCCTCCTTCCTGAACGAGTGATTTACTTGATCACATCTTGATCACATCGTATGATCATTTGTATAGATGTTATAGAAAGGATTACATTGATCATTTTTAGAGACGATGCGCTGAGAGATCTTAACGACTGACAAAGTCGAAGCAAATGAATGGGCAATTGTTATAGGTAATTGCGATGAGATTCTAGGAGAATAATATGCGGAATGGGAAGGCCTTGAGGCAGTGGATTAGCCGGAAGAAGGTGAAATGAAGGAAAAAAGATAAAAGATATACTTATTGATGATGAGCATTTGAGCTTGCCATTTGAAAGCATTCAGCTGAATCCGTTCAGAGGAGATAAGTGTAAACAGCAAAAATTTGCGAGTGCAAATAATTCCGCAAAATTTCTTTCGTTGTGAAGACGATGAGAAATCAAATTCGTACGAATAGGAATAATGACAATAATAATTTCAATAAAAGTAATTGCAATTTCACCATCTTACGCATTATTTGGTCATCAAGGTATCATTACTATTATTATTACTTTTATTATCATTATTATTGTCATTATTCCGATTCTGATTGCTTGAAAATGCGTATCTCAGCGATAATATATAGATTCATAAATTTTTCGGCAATGGCTCAATTCGATATAGAATTCGGCATAAAATATACAGGAAATAACTGAAAACATTGCACACAGTCAAATGCAATGCTCACTTAAACGTGAGACGATCATATGACCATATGGCAATTGCCAATGAACAGTATAAAACTGATAAGATAACTAAACAAAAGTTTAAAAGAGTGAATTTT